AAAAAAATGTTACGTTTGCCGACACTTTTATGAATTGTTAAGAATCTTGAACTGTCGAGCGAAGTTCGTTCTGTAGTTTTGATCCGAGTACTTGTAAAATGTTGACATATTTTGAATCGCGGAGAGTTTTGAAATTATTTGAATAAAGTATAACATGAATTTATTTATAATCTTGTTTAAGCGTCAACGGAATGCAAGGTTACCTCATCTTAGTGCTATTTTATGTCGGGAAATTTTTGTTATTCATTACCAGTTACTGATTGATGAGACGACGATAAATTGAATTAAAATTATCAAATTCTCTTCACCACTTAATTTTTTTTTCCGGACACCACTTAAATTGTTGTTATTATGTAAAGTGAGTTAACGGGAAAAAGAAATTGGGCAATTTTTTTTTATTTTTTATTATTATTTGGTTGCTGAGATTTTGAGTACAAGTCCCACCATATCATTTCTTAATAAACAAATTTCTAAGTTGTGATGTACATATAGTACAACCTATTTATGTCAAGTAACGTGATTGTCTCGTATCATATGGTACAAGTTGCAAGTTTACCTCCTTTTAGGGTCCATTTGATTGTGGGAATGAAATTCGGGTGGAAAGAAAACGAAATTCAAGGAATTGAATTGTCTAGAACTTGTTTTACTGAAAATTGTCAATTAAATGTATTTGATTAGTATAAATTTTCACCTGAAAAATGTTGAAATTTTAAATTTTCTGATATTCGTTTGACGTTGTTTTTCATGAAATTTGTTAACTAAAAGGATAGAATTTGTTACAATTATCGATAAAATTTGTTTTTATTGTCAAAAATAAAAATAAAAAATTAACCCAAAAAAAAGGGAGAAGAAGTTGGAAAACACTTTTTCACCAAAACCAAAGGAAAACACTTTCCTTAAAAACCAAGAATTTGGATAATGTGGGGGCTAGGGTGAAAAACGAATTACATAGAAAATTTTGCCTATTAAACAACATATTTGGGTGAAAAATTCATGAAATTGGCCTGTATCAAACAGGCCTTCAGATATTTATGTCAAGTGACAGTTGTATCATATGGAACAAGTTCCTCATCGCAGTGATGAGCTCTTGCAACAAGTTGAAAGCTACCTTTGTTTCAGTGCCATTCATGTCAATTTCACGTGGTGTTTGTCCTGAATAACAAGTCTTGAGATTTCGAAATGACATTAATCAGATTCATTAATCTTTTGCAGAGGCCATCAATGTATGATTTGGATAAATTACTTACAAGTTAAAATGAGATAAAAACATACATAAGCTCTTACCCAAAAATAAAACAAATATGCATGTTTCAAGTTTCTCGAAGATAGAGTTGGTAAGCGGCCCAATCCACTAGTAAGAGCTCAATCCATGACCAACTTGATCGTATATTCACGAGCCGATATTGATTTTGAACTTGACATGTCGAATCAAGCTCGGATCCTGTGCTATGTCTAATTGCAAAAATTCATTGATCAATTATGTGGGTAGAGCAAGGCTTGATCTCTTGGTCAACGAGCCAGCCCAAGCTCGACTCATTGACAAATTGGTCGAGCCCATATCATGCAACGAGTCAAATCAAGCTTGAGCATCCCTAGGCGAGCTGGCGAATTGACCACTTCTAGGGCCTGTTTGGGAGAGATTTTTTGTTCCAAAAAATTGATTTTTTAACCGTTATTTTACTATTCAAATCGTAATTTTTGACTTCTTCTCTTACACGTGAATCCCACTTTTTTTCTAACGATCAAAATATCAATTCTCAAAATCCCTCGGGCCCTAGACCGGTGTAAATTTGCAATTCATGTTCCAGTTCACCGCCATTAGTTCACTAGATCGACCTGTGTTATCTTCAAACACTCCCCCCTCTCCCTCTCTCATGCAACATTTCAATAATGGCGGCCACAACCTCACGATCCCTAATCCCGTCTCTGTATTCCGATTCCAAAATCCATAATCCAAAGCCTCTCACTGCCGCACAACTCTCCCAAGGACGCCTTAAAATCCCCCTTCACGCCTGCTACAGCAATACCAATAGCAAAAATAATAAAAAGATCCAAGCAATTGACCTGCAGAAGCTCATTCAAGACTCCCCCTACGAATTTGACTCCAAAGATTCTCCCGCTTCACTTCCGAGTATGTTTTATTTTATTATTTTACTGGGTTTGTGATTTTTTAAATTTATGGGGGATTAAATTGTTGATTTTTGGATTTTCAGGGCCTTTAACGTCGGCCCAATTGTCTAATTTGACCTCGGAAGGGTCTAGCCTCCGTGTTGCTTATCAGGTATCGACATTGATTAACCTTGAAAGCTTACAGTGCTAATAACGTATGTGGTACCATGTCCTCATGCGTCATGGTGCCTTGACCATATCTTTGAATGAACTTAAATAAGTTCTGTTTATATTTTTCTTGAAAAGGGGGTTCGAGGTGCATATAGTGAGTCTGCAGCAGAAAAGGCATACCCAAATTGTGAACCAGTTCCATGTGAACAGTTCGATACAGCGTTCGAGGTAAGTTATGGAACGGCTGCTTGTCTAGATTAAAATGCGGATATCTGTTAATTTCTTCATAGATATGTTGCCTCTCTTATGCTGTTTATGAACTTGATATCATTGCTAAACTGGATGGTCTTCAGTTCTATCACTTCATTTTTATAAAGTTCGTGCTTTGCTAGATATATGCTGATATACTGCCTTCTATGTTGTTGTATGACCAAAATGTATGTCAATGTGCTCAACTAAGTACTGCATTTGTCATTTGGAAATTTGTTATTGTGGTGCTGCTTTTTCTCTTAAAATGTAGTGGAGTTGATTCATTACAACCTCTCAAATACGCGCCTGATAAAACAAAAGGGAGAGAAGAGTGAATATAAAATAAATGACAGAGAGAATGTAGTTTGATAATTTTAATAATCACAATGGCACAGAAATTTGCATATTCTTCTTATTGTTAAATTCCAATGCGACCACGTATACTTGTGACAGTAACTATTACTGCATAATTTGGATCAGTTCTATGATGTGCAAAGATTTCATTCTGTTTGTCAGTGTCTATGTCTTTTATAATATGCTTTACGTTTCCCAGACTCAACCTGGGGATGGGAGAGACAATTTATGTTGTGAGCAGCACTTTTGGTGTTGTCCCGTTGTATTTAGTATTAATGAGAGATGCATAGAGAGGACTTGGATAATATATATTGCATGAATTATATGTAATTTTCAAATATTGCAGACTACTCTATTAATCAGTTCTCCTTTGATGGACATCGTATGAGGAGAAATATCTGTAAAATTTATATTGTACTGAAACTTCACCGTCATCTATGTATTCTTTAAAAATGTTCTGTATTTCTTGTAATTGATATGGTAGTTCATCTCTTCCAGAATCGATATTAATCTGTATCCTAGTCTATGCATGCATAGTTTAATATGCATTGTTTGACAAAACGGATAAACCATTTTTCATTGAATTTTTATATGTAATTATTTTCCAATCTATCAACAAATATTTTGAATAAAATATCAATAGTAAGGTAAGATGAATATGTTAGGTGAGTCAAACTGCAGATTACTAGATAAAAAGTGGCCATCTCTAGTTGACGAATCTGATCCTTGTTCTCACCTCATCATTTTTCGCCTTCCTTTTGGGTCGACATTCCACAGGCTGTTGAAAAGTGGCTCGTTGATAGAGCAGTTTTACCAATAGAAAATTCTTTGGGCGGTAGCATCCACCGGAACTATGACCTACTACTTCGACACAGGTTGCATATAGTCGGAGAAGTTAAACTTGCAATAAGACATTGCTTACTGGCTAACCATGGAGTCCTAGTTGAAGACCTAAAAAGGGTTCTTAGCCATCCTCAGGTATGTTTCACTTAATAATCAAATGCATCCAACAGAGATGCAGATCGTAACCCGTATATTTTGATGCTTCAGGCTCTTGCACAGTGTGAGAGCACATTAACTGGATTGGGACTGGTGAGAGAAGCTGTGGATGATACTGCTGGTGCAGCCAAGGTGACTAAAATTTGATAGATACAATAATTTTCCAGATCTAATGATGTTTCATTCTACACCCTGATCTTCTATCATTTTTCATCTCGTTCTTTCTTATAGCTAGTCATGCATGGGTTAATTACCTGCAAAGGAATTTGAATCCAACTTTTTCAAGTCTTGCCTAGGTTCAGGCCGTTCTCCTGTTTGATTAGCTTCAGAAAAAAGCATGATTAGTTTCTCTTGCACGCCTTGGATATTTTAATTAGGTTTATGCTTGTGCTAAGAAAACTAATTGAGTATGGTTCATATTTTTAACTTTTCATGCTTTTGCTTTTCGAAAGAGTAGCATGTTGCTTTCCATAAACTCAAGGATGCTGGAGCAGTTGCTAGCAAGGCTGCTGCTAGAATTTATGGGTTGAATATACTTGCTGAAGACATACAGGTAGATTTGTAGACTTCTAAGTTGATAAATTGATATTTGATAGCATGTGAAGTCTCACATATTAGTACACATGAACACGTGTATTTTATCATTTGTCTTCCTTGTTCCTGTCCAGGATGATTCTGATAATGTCACCCGCTTCCTTATGCTGGCTAGGGAACCTATTATACCAGGCACTGATAAACCTTTCAAGGTTGCTACCGCATATAACAGCTGTAGGAACTTGAAAAGAAATGCAGCGCCTGTTTGGCAAAGCTTTTTTGAGATTATAAGCTAGTCAAACTTCATTTTTTAACCACACATTTCATTGTACCCACAATTTTTATCTATTTTTTAACCACACATTTCATGAGATCCACCAACTTATAATCTCAAAAAAGTTTTTTCAAACAGGGGCGTGTATCTCGACTTCATTTTTATACCCTCTTTGCAGTCATTGTGCAACTAGTTATTTTGTCATAATATTCATTTATCAGACAAGTATAGTCTTCTCACTTGAGGAAGGTCCAGGGATGCTTTTCAAAGCACTTGCTGTTTTCGCCATGAGGAATATTAACCTGACAAAGGTGAGTTTTTCTTTCCTTTGATTCTGCAAGCATCGTCTCTGGTCAGTTATTGTCCATGACTCAAATTCAGCGTTAATTTTCTGCCTATTTAGATTGAAAGCCGTCCGCTGCAGAAGCAGACTTTGCCAACACTTGATGACAGTACCAATGGATTTCCCAAGTAAATGCTCACCAAACTGTTGATCTTTTGTTATTAATCTTGTAAATGAAGTCGCAGAAACATGTCTACATATGAGTGTACTGCATTTTGTTATAGTAGACACATATTTGGTTCCAATAGATGCTTGATTACCAATCGCATCTCTAAACATCTGGCTATTTTATTACTTTGCAAGCATTTATTTCTAATCGGACATCACATTCTGGCAGGTATTTCCCATATCTTTTCTATGTTGATTTTGAAGCATCCATGGCTGACGAAAGAGCCCAAAATGCTCTTGGTCATCTGAAGGTACGGTTGCAAACCATCTTAAGATCCTATCTGAAGAAATTATGTATTGTTCATGAAGCTATGTAGGGTAGGCTTTTTTCCCTAATCCTTCTTGGATTAGTTTTGACACATTAAATTTGTTTGTTCCTTTTCTCTTAAGTTTTAGCTAGAATAAGTTTCTACTGATTTAAACTTCCTAATTATAGTAGGTTCTAGAATTTTCCTACTGGTTTAACTTTTCGAGTTACATTGGGTTTTGGACTTTCCTATTGATATAGGTTTCCTAGTTAGAATTGTTCTGAAGTCTTAGGTTTCTAAAGCCTAGGTATAGGCCAAAATCCAACAAAATCATTGATGGAAGAACTTTATTCTTTAGTACAGAAATTCTAATTTGTTGTGATTTAAGTCTAAAGCGCTAATTCTGTAGTATTAACTTCGATCTGTCATTTCTTGGTTTAAGCTTTTCTCCTCGTCAATTTTGGTATTAGAGCATCCATCAATCTAAATTTATCATGGTAATGCAACGATCAAGAATTCCTAGGTAGATACAAGTTCAACAGGTGGAAGGGATTTCGAGGTGGATACAGCAACTTGGGATGGAAAAATTACGTAGAGATCATGGTAGCCCAAAGGGAAGTACCAAAAGGCAACTGCTAAACTTTTGATCTATTGGAAGGAGTTTTGGAGGATGAGGGGGGCATTTTGGTCAAGAATATTATACCTTTCCATGAACATGTAGCTCATGCCAATCTGAGCATGTAGATTAGAAGAGTGGTTAACAATACCTCTTAATATCAATTTAGGATTTCAAATTGACGTTTCAGATTTCTATGAAGAATGGATGCACAAAACTAGGAAGCAAGCTTGGAGAATTTTTTCTAATGGAAGTCAATGCGAGTAGGGCTGAAACTGAAACAGAAGATAGTTTCCTTACTGTGATGAAAATGGTTGGAATAGCGGTAAACCAGGCAAGGAAAAACTGAGCATTCTTACTTAGGAATTGATGAAGGTAACATTGTGAAAGTAATTTTTGCTTGCTAATATTATCATGGTCTGGTTAAAACGTTTCCACATTTGCGTAAACTGGATGTTGTTGCCGAGTAAACCCTTGAATTTATAACCATCACATCGAGCCGGCCTCTTAAGACGGATGAGCAACTCATAACTTGTCATTTCTTGGGATTGAGAATTGCCAATTTGCCATATTTTCAAGGTTAAATATTCATATAAATATGCTCCAAAGGCACAGGAAACTGTGAGTCAATTGAGATTACCTCTTTGAATAGTAGAAATTTAGCTGTTGTTTTAGACAGAAACATTACATGGATGACATCTAAAAGGCTCCAGGCAACCAGCAAAATTGGGCGTACACCGAGCAAAGTTGTTGAAGGATCAAATATAGGTGAAAAATGAAAAAAATTATATGTTTTGGAGCTGGGAGAGCCGATGACAAAAAATTCTACACAATCTACCATTCAATGTATCAATTGTCTTGAGATAGGTCATGCTTATGCATCTCTTTATCAAGTTAATATAATAGAAGTTGAATTGAAGTTTCTTTGTCAACTTAGTTATGATAAGTGATGACAATTTTGCTAATAAGAAAGAAGAGAAAATAAAAGTACTACCCATCCAAGGCAAGACTTTATTGTTGAAAGGATGCGGAGATTAGGGAGATGAAATTGATCTGTTGCCCAAGAAGAAAGTCTGGTTGTTCAATGAGCTTATGTAGTCGGAAGAAAGGAGGATTGAAGATGACTTAAGTATTTTTTGTACCTAAGTCAAATGTAAAGAAAAGGTATGTGGAGTGATAAGTTTACGCTATGAAATATAATATCTAAAGTTAAAGAAACACGGATACTTGTAAACTCATTACATACCCACATTTGATATGTATTCAAACTTGGATACTGTCCGATATGCTCCTATATGTATCGGATATGTATGTTTCTAATTATTTTATATTTTTTAAATTTTTGATATGTATCGAATACATATTTTTTAATTATTTTTAATACGTATCATTAGGACACATTAAGAAGAGTTATTAGTTTTAAACTCCTTTAAAGTTCATTATCAATGGCTATAGATTGACAGCAAAAAATTTATTTAATAGATAACTATTGTTATTGTCAATAAGTTATTGAAAATGGATAATATTTATGGGACATACACAATTAGAGTTTTAACTTAATTGCAATTGGAGTTTTTTTTTTTTAATTGAAAATACACATTAGTATTAAATTTTTTAATACATGTAAAACTATGTTAATAGTTGAAAAATAAATTTTTGTCATTGGAAATAGATAATAGTATTGTGGGACATTGTTGGAGACTCGCTTAATACTCTTAAAGGTATTAAACTGTTTGAGGATGCTAATCTATCATTGGATGAAATAGAGTTGGAGAGTGCTATTTTTATTGATAATGAAGAAGTTGATGTTGGTTATGTCAAAGAAATTGAAGTTGGGACAATTAAAGAATAAAATAAAATGTTTGTGTTTTATTTTATATTTATTATCATATTTCTGTTTTAAATTTTTTATATTAATGAAATTATGTTGAATTTTTATATCTTTTACATATATACACATATTCGCATATCCTAATTTTTTAAAAACGTTGTATCGACGTACCCATATCGTATCATATTCGAATTACTTATCTGAATCCGTGCAGCTTTGATCTAAAGTAGTTGTCAAGCCACTAAAAATTCCTATTGCTTAGGGGTATTTTTTGATGACTACACCTAGCAAGATGAACTTTGTTGTGATGTCCTAACCATGGACGCCTCTCATCTTACTAGGATGACAATATTTTCTTGATAGTGATATGCCCATTGTACCTAACCATAGACCTACACTTCACAAAGATAACAAGAAGCTGTATCACATTCTTTCAAAGAGGTATCACGAAATCTATAATGTTATAACACAAAGGCTAATCGTTTCTCAATCCTCGCCAATTTGAGAAGATAATTAGGGAGTAAAGCTCTTCATATGTTTTTTGTTAGGATTCTAGGAATAATAAGAGTGTTCACGCTACCAGTTGGAAACTCAAAACATTGATCATAATATGATCTCAGGCTTCCCCACTTGACCACCACCAATCAGAGATATTTAACATGTAATTGTTTGGATATTAGGAGTGGCAATAACATATACCAGTAGCATATCAAGCAGAAATATGACATCAAGTGGGACATCTGATTGCTATGGGATTCATGCTAAAATGTCAAAGTGGCGTACTTGCTGACTTGAACAAAAAAAAATATGGATCGTGGAGAATTTGTGGAGACAGTCATGTAATTGCAAATTATTGTTGTGTCAATTCTGAATTCAAGGATAAGGTAAAAGATGCTAGACTGACTAGTTGGATCAATTGCATTCTCTGAGCAGGCTTAAAAGGAGGCCATCAAATTTGGATTAGGAGTGAAGATGAATGGGGAACAACATTGACAACTCGATATTGACCATTCAAATGTCTTGTGATGCCTTTTGGTCTTTCCAATGCACCCAACACTTTCACATGAGATGATGGAGAAATTACATTGGAGTTTTGGTGGCTGTTTGTCTTGACAACATTGTAATTCACATTATTATAGGGATGAGCACATGATGTGGAATTTTATGCCTTAGTTTGAGCTCTTCGCATTAGCAACATTATATGTTACATCAGTTTTTTGTTGTTTATCCTGATCGTGCTGTACTTCGGTATTTGAATTCACAAAAGAAACTCGATTCGAAGCATAACAAGTGGAGATCTTTTGTTTGACAATATCCACTGAATCATGTAGTTATAGTTGGCTTTGAAGTTCTCTTGGTTCTTCAAGCTTTCTTAGTTACACTAGGTTTTTTGTCTTTTCCTATTTTCTAACATTTTCCTAGTAAGTAGGATTCTGATTCCTTAAGTTTATAGTCTCTATAAGTAGACTGTAGACTACATTGTTCCAGTAAATTGATGAAGTTTATTTCAGTCCAGAAAGTTCTGATTTGCTGAGATTAAGTCTATGGCACTTGGGGGTTGTTTGACAAAGCTTTTGATAAAAATAAAAAAAATAGCAGATTTTGATAAAAATTGATGAAATGTATGGTTGAAAAGTTGATGAAAGTTATGGGTTCCAGGAAATATGTAATTAAAATTAAATTTTGACTTTGACTTCTACTTATATCAATTTTTTAAGCTTTCCCATACAAGCACTAAATCTTCAGTGTTTACTTTGAGCTCTGATATTATCCACTTGCTCTTTCAACTTCTATTATTATCATTTTATTATTGTTCCGTCATCAAAATGTATGCTTTTTTTGCAGGAATTTGCAACATTCTTGAGGGTGCTGGGGAGTTATCCCACTGACACTGGCCTGCCATGAGTGACCTTGAGTCCTGGTAAAATTTCGATATCTGTGAACTTATTTAAAGTAAATATGGGCAAAGTTTTTATGACGGTGGTTATGTGACTTGACATGCACATAACCAACGAATATAATTTTTATGAACGAATATACTCTCATTGGTCTCGAGCTGCAAATGAGCGAAGCTAACCTAGGCCTCGTGGAAAATTTTATTAGGTGTGTTAATACTGGTAAGCTCTGAGATGGGCGCTTTAACTTGTACCCCTTAGTCCATCAGTGATTAGGATTACTGTGTTTTGCTAACTTGGAATTTATATAATCCTAGCATTTTTTAATGAGCTCGGCCCTTGGTGGTTTTATGGTTCCATATTCTTTCACTAATACAATTTAAGCACAAAACTACGTTTGACTGGAATAGCAGTAGCTTTGGCTGCAATGGTGGTCTGGAAACATTTCATTTTGGACATGTCCAAATAGTTATATGTTTTTTGCTATTTGATCCATGTTTCTAGCCTATAATTGATAATAATTAGAAGATGACTAAACTATGTCAACTAAACTGAACAATTGCAAGGCTTATTCTCTAGGAAGATGATTAACTTCATTTCTTAATTATGCGTGGGGAGTTTTGCTATGTGCTCCACCAAGGATTGTTTCCAATGAGTTTATTTGTTGAATTACGCACATTTCTAGAATTGTATGCTAATTTGTTGTTCAAATTTGCATCATGGACAAATTTGACATCATTTCGTTTTCAAAATCCTATTCATAGTCGTATACGCAATTCTAAAATGTGAAGAAAAAATGTAAATAACACATGATAGGATTCTGCATTTGTTTTCGCTTTCTTTTACTTACGAGGGAAGGCAAACTTTTACATGTATGATGTATATCAACTTTAGAGCTTGTAAGGTTCAAAATGCTCATCCATTCTGCAAATAAAGAAAAAGGATGTCTCAGTGTGTGTGTGACAAGAAAAATGTTTTAGCAATTTTTTAGAAAGATTAGTGGTGGGAACTACAAAATGTGTTAATTATAACGCGTAATAGTTTTTGATGTGTAGTTGAAATGAAAGTTTGACTTTGTTAGTAGAAGTAACTTATAATTTGCTAAAAATGTTTCCCAAACACATGCTTAGTTTTGATTTTCCGTTTCCTCTTCTTAAGAATGCTGGTCAGGGGCTTCCGTTTAGAGAACACAATTTCAGTAGAAGAAAATTCTTCAAAGAATTCATCGGTCTGAGATAGACTAACAGAGGACTGCGAAAGGGTGTTACGCGACAGAGCAAATAAGTGACCTTGCCAACACTTCACTATCAAATGCAAAAGATACAGCTATTCTTTTATTGTAATTACTCAATTTTATTTCATTTTATTCATTTTCTGTTTCGTCGAATTCACCCTTTTTATTGAATCAATTTTGTGGTCGTGCTCGACTCCTTTACCAAGTGAGAACTACATGTCTCCTTGCAAGTGGGTCATTTTCTTTATTGTTGAAAATACACACTAACAACATAATTGGTACGTTACATTATACATGATTTAATTGGAGAAATAATAAATTTAGATATAGGACATTTTTCTATTATTGTTGTTGTTGTTGTTGTTTTAATTATTTTAGATTAATTAATAAATAAGAGAACACATAGGTTGGACTTCAATAATAATAATAATAATGCCAAACAAGGGATCTACATTAAAATAGCCTAAAGAAAAAGGCTACTTTTTCATTTTAGCCTTTAACTAATTCAAGTACCTAAAATACCCTTATATAAATATTATACATGAGTCTTTATTTTATAGAAACTTTCCATTCAAGTCCTTAAAAATTTTAAAGAATTTAGCCTCTAATTGAAGAGTTAAAGATTTTAGTAGATCTATAGATTTATTTGCTATATTTGATTTTTGTTTGCTTAAACTAACACCCCTTAATTGGTATCAGAGCCTTAGAGATCATGGAAATTAAAATAGGTGAAATAAATGATTATTGATTTTTAGAAGAAGAAAAATGAAGTTATATATTTTTAGAACCTATTCCTAATATATTAAAAATAATGACATTAACAATAGTCAAAGTTACCCAAAGAAATAAAAGAACAAATATTAGAAATATATATATATATATATATGAAAAAATTATTAAAGTATATGAAGATGAAGAAATTAATATATATTATAAAGAAAAGTATGATTGTAAATGATAATACATAATTAAAATTGAATAAATTACTCGCAAATATTAATGAGATACAAGGAAAAATACAAGATATAACATTAATACCAGATTGAATAAAAATAAAAGAAAAATAGTTAATAAAATTAAAATGTGAAAAATTAAGACTACAAAGTAAATACTTCAAGATAATAAAAGAAGAATTAGTAAATACAGATATAATTAATAGAAGATTTGGAAAAATAATAGATGAAAAAGAAGATAAAAGATGTAAATTAACTTTTATGTTAGAAAGATGATTAAGAAAAAATTAAGACGTCAATAAGTGAATATATGGAAGAATTAAAATCTTTAATAAAAATGTTGATAAATGATGTTCAAGATTTAAGAAATGAAGTAAAAGAAACAAGAAATGATATAAATATATTAAAAATTGAAGTTAGAGAATTAATATAAAATAATAAAAATAAAGAAAAGAAAATAGATAAAAAAATTTATAGAAAAAAAATGACCCGAATAGGAAAAAAACATATTGAAAAAGAAAATATAGTAATAGAAACAGTAAGTATGGAGGATGAATTTAGAAAGAATATATTACCAAATATATTAGAAGAAGAAGACGAATTTAGGGAAAAAATGTTAGAAAAATTAAAAATAGAAGAAAATTAAGAAAATAAAGATGAATGAGGAATTAGATTTACTTATAGAAAATTTTGATCAATTAAGTTTAAGTGATATAAGTGAAAATCAAGTTTTAATGAATATTGGAGAAGAACCTAATCTAATAGGAACCTCTAAACAAGAATTGCAAGAATCAAATGAAAGTTATGCACTTATATATAATAAATCATATAGACAATTTTATGATAAAAGTAAGAGATAGACAACCACTTAAATGAAATAAATATAGAGACATATTTGAATTAAGTGATAATTATGATAAACATATTAATCATGGAGGAACAAAATTAGATTTAAATTATAAAATAGATACTAAAAAAGTCTTATTAACTTGGGCAGATTCAATGTTATTATTCTTTTTATATAATAAAGATGACACATGGGAAAGTACCGAAAGAAGAATATATTTCTTAATAGCATCTTTTGAAGGAGATGTTAGAAATTGGAGGGAATGAATAAGTAATGATACAAAAATATTAATAAAAAGAAACGTACAAACAGAAATAATAAAATTAGATAGACAAGGTACAGAAAAGTTAGTAGAATATATTTCAAATGAAATTTGAGGAGAAAATTGAATAAAAAAATTTGAAGGAGAAGCAATAAGAGAAAAAGATAACGTTACAATTAAATTAATAAATTTAACAATATGTGATATGTGTAAAATTAAAGAATATACTTGTGAATTTAGAAATTATTAGTAGACTCAGTTTTATAGTAATGAAAATCAAGAAATATACCAAGACATGTACTATAAAAAGTTAGCAGGTTCATGGAAAATATACTTTAAAATAGAATTTGAAAAATATGTCAGAGATAATATTGGAATACCTAGAATTTTATGTTCAAGAATAAAATTTTTATTTAAAAGACTTGCATATATATGTCAACAAAGACAATTATTGAAAAAAATCAAAAAAATTAACTAGAACATGTTGCGAAGATATGGAAAACCCTATATAATGAGGATGTAATCTTGAAATAAGGGTTAACAAAAAAATATATATAAAAATAAAAATTTTAAAAAATTTAGAAATTTTAATAAAAAAAAATATAAAACCTAGAAGAAGATATTATAAAAAAAAATATCTCATATGGTCAACGAAAAAATAAAAGTTATAAGAAAAATAAAAACTAATGTAAATGTTGGAATTGTAGGGAAATATGTCATATAAGCCATGATTATGATAAAAACGAAGCTAAAATATTACAAAAAGAATATTTGGAAATAAAAGATGAATTAAGTAAAATATCGGATATTGAACAATATTATAATCAAGAAGTATATATAAGTGAAATAGATGAATCAGAATCTGAATAAGGAAATAGAGGAAATAGAAAATATTAATATAAATATACAAGAATATGAAGGAATAGAAGGTTATGGATTAAAAGTTACCTTTGATAATAATAAATTTAAGAAAATGCAAAAATTATATTTAGATTTAAAAATAGGAAAATGGAAAGTTTTAGACAGAATTTGGAAAAGAGAAAATATAGCAATAACTGAATATTATAAAATTGAGAAAACTATAGATGTAAAAACAACATATGAAAATCATAAATTAATCTTTTAACAAAAAATACAGTTGAATAACTATTAACAAAGGTCAGTAAAAAACAAAGTGAAAAAATCCAATACATTTATCTAGCAGGAATACAAATAATATTTAAATCATTATTCAGAGAAGGGATATACTCCCCCTTAACTATAACTTTATATGATGGAAGAATAATAAATCTAAAAGATAGTGATTTAGGAACAATAAAAGGAAATTTAGCATATCAAAAAATAATGTTTACATGCTACCCAAAATATTGTGTGTCATTGAAAGATAGAAACTTTAATGAAGTTTTAGGATTGTATTTTAAGCTACATAGAGATAATATCATACAACCATGTGATCAAATTATGTCTGTAAAATATAAAGTTTTATATACATTTACCAATTCTAATTATGGAAATATTTATTCCAATAAACCATATATTGAAATACATAAAGAATGTAAGGATACTAGTGAAATAATAAAATCAAATAAACAAATAAGTTTAATACCGGGAGAATATGAGTTTAGTATAACAACAAATAAACCAAAAATAACATAATTAAATGAAGAAAAATGTTCTAATAATACAACATTTGAGGACAGAAAATTAATTAAGACCCCGTTTGACCCCCATTTTGTAGAGTTAAAAATGGGGGGAATAGTATTTTTTGAAAAATGAATGGTTGAAAATGAAGGAAATTTTTTTTATTTACATATAATATTATTTTATGAAAGATTGTATGGTTGACAGTAGGAGAGAGAAAAATGTAATGTAATGTAATAGAGATTAATGGAGGCCAAACGGGGGCTAAAAGATCAAAAAGTCTTAGAATACCTAATAAAAACCAGTTAGAAGAATTTAGTAATATAAAAGAAATAAAAATTTACAGAAATACTGGAAATATGAAAATAGAAGAAGAATATTATAATGGAAGAGAATATATAAATAGACCAAATATACTAATAGATATAGGAGTTAGTGAATGTCATATAGCTTCAATCAGAAATAAAAGTCTAATAACTCATAAAACTGATCCATATATATATGTAAATTTTGATGGACAAATACATATTTCAGAATTAGAAGTTAAAATACCAATAAAAATAGGAGGAATAAACATTTTAATACCATGTTATATGGATAAGAGTATGAATATAAACCATCGTATACTTTTAGGAATGAATTTTCTGAATGGATTAGAAGATTATAATATAAAAAGAGAAGGATTATATATGGTTTATAACGGACAAAGTACATTATGTAAAAAAAACTAAATGAATAATCAGATAAGTTTTCCATCAACTGTATATATACAAGTTACTTTTGTAGAAACAAATATAACAATTTGTGTTTTAATAGACACAGGAAGTGATATAAGAATATTTAAAAGTTTTTTTTATAAAATCATGGAATAATAATAGTAATATAAAAATAACTGAAATTACAGGAGAAAGCACTTAAATAATTAATAGTGCTGATAAAGTTAATATAATTATTGGAAGTAAACAAGTTACAATAAATAAAATATATAAATATGATAAATTAGAGAGTGATATATTATTAGAAAATGACTTTATACAATAATTTCAATATTATAAACAAAATAATTATATGATAATGTTACAAACACCTTGCTCACACTTATTAAAAATTTCAAGAGAATTTAAACTTTATAGAGTTCAGCCAAACCAACGCGGTGATAAATGGGAGAAAAAACCAATCATACTTAATGAAATAAAAACTAAAAGAATATTGTATAAAAAAATTCTAAAAAGGGGAATAGAAATAAGTATAGAAAAATTATTGAACAATTAGAAAAAGTTTATGGAGAAAATCCATTATTATTTTGGAAACCACATCACCCAAAAGCCAAAATAGAGTTAACAGAAAATATTATAATAAGAGTCATACCAATTATGTATATTATATAAGATACACAAGAATTCAAAAATCAGATAAAATAATTATTAGAACAGAAACTTATTAGACCTAGTAATGGATCTCGTAGTAGTCTAGACTTTATGGTTATGAAATATTCAGAACAGGTTAGAGGAAAAGTTAGAATGATCATAAATTATAAAGAGTTAAATAAATATGCTAAATTTGATGGATATTTTTTACCAAATAAATAAATTTTAATAAACTTTGCAAAAGTAAAACAATATTATTCTAAATTTGATTATAAATCAAGATTTTGGAAAGTAAAAATGGATGAAAATAATACACAATATACTACATTTAGTACATCTCAAGAAAAATATGAATGGTTAGTAATCTTATTTGGATTAAAAAATGCACTACAAATATATTAAAGAAAAATGGATAATATATTTAAAAAGTTTAATTAATTTCTAATTGTTTATATAGATGACATATTAATATGTTCTAATAGTAAAGAAGAACATAGAAATCATTTATTACAAATCATTTATTACAATTTATAAATGAATTGTACTCTATAAAAAGAAATCTATAATAGAGAAACAAGAAATAGATTTTCTTAAATTATCAATAGATAAAAAAGGAATAAAATTACAGACTCATATATCCAAAAAGATAAAAAGTTTTCCAGATAAATTAGAATCCAAAGAACAAATATAAAAATTCTTAGGATGTTTAAACTATGCTGAAGAATTTATTGAAAATCTTTCTAAAAAAAGACATAAAATATAAATTTTACTAAGAAAAATAAATATTAAAGGATGAAATGAAGAACATACAGAAATAGTTAAATCATTAAAGGAAGAATGTAAAAATTTACCAAAATTAAGATTACCAGATGAAAAATATAATTTAATTATGAATAAAAATGCCTTAGATAAATATTGGACAGCAATATTAAAAATAGATTTAAATGAGATTTGTAGATATTCAAGTGGAATATTTAATCAAGCAAAAATAAATTATATTACTCATGAAAAAAATACTAGTAATTATTAGAAGGATAAAAAAGTTCTCATTATTTTTATTATCTAAAAAATTCATTGTTAAAACTGATAATTCTTAGATTGCAGGATTAGTCAGGAATAAACTACCATCAGAACCTCAATATAGAAGGTTCCATAAATGACAAGCTTATTTAACATTTTATAATCTTGATATATTTCATATTAAAGGAGTAAATAATTTTCTTACAAAATTTTTCAGCAAAAACATAGAATTTGCTGATGAATAAAGTCATGGTCATGGATTTATACCAATATATCCTACATATACAAAAAAGGACAGATTTTCTTAAAGAAGAATCTGACGACATAAATACTAGAGTAACACAGATCTCAGAGATATTCAACTCAAATATAAAAATATTGAATATCACTACTGAGTATCATAAAGAGGCCATAGAACTCAAAAATCAAGTTAATGCTATTGCAGCACAACTAAAAGACATATTGTCTGAGACAGATATATCAAAGAGCTCATAAATGAGTTTTCCAAATCAATACCAAACAGGGACAGCTGGAAGCAACAATGGACCCACACATGACACCATACCAATTGATAAAAAAGGAGATTCAACACCAGCTAAAAAAGTGGTGATACATGGAGATAAAAAAGATTCTAAAACTATTAGTATCATAGACCAAGACCAAAATGATATGATCCATTTAGATCCAAAAGAAGAAGAATATGTCAAAATAGTCAAAATCGTAAAATAAAAATAAGTGATTCATATTTTATCCCTCTAGGAAATAATTTTTATTCTAGAGTAACAGCCATGGAAGGAGGAGACCATTCATTCATAAAGATTATTGCAGATTATGGATTTTTGGATTTGATATATCCAGAAAAAGATTTGATTGAAAATTCGAAATTTGATGACATATTCATAAAAGAAGTATAAAGATTTGCTAAAGGATGAAAAATATATTTGAAATTCTATTTAATAAGTCCTGAGTATGATGATATTGTTTGTTATCCAGTTGAACACATAATCTCAATTGGATATGTTACATCCAATTTCCAAATAGATGTTATAGAAAATGATAAAAAGGTTTCAAAGGTGACCAAGTCATGGATCAGATATAAAAGAGCATTTTGAATCAAAGCCATATACAATATTGCTAAAAATTTGTATGATAAAAAATTCTCATATTTATGTCAATATCCAAATTGAACGCTAGCTTCAAATGGAGGACATGAAAAATTAGAAATTCTAAAGGATTATATTACAAAATTCGATATACATCAATTTTCAAGATATCCTACAACTATCAAAGAATTTTGCCAGCTAAGAGATTGTCCCAGCTAAGAGATTGATAATAATGATCGTTCTCCGATCATATGCTTCGAGCATCCACTATCCAAGAACCATTTACTTTTTATTTTTTTTGGTATCTACAAAGACAAATTAAGTCTTGACTTTTGGTAGCCACACAAATTTGGGTCATTGATAGTTAGTTTTTTGTGGATTCTTGTGTCCACTTGTATTGGTTCTCAAAGAATAATTTTTTTTTAGTTACATAATTAAAAGCAATATGTCCACTTTTATTACAAAAGTTATATGAAATATTTGAAACCTTAACAAACATATTTTTGAGTGATTTTTGTTTTAGAAAGGGTTTGTATCCAATTCATCCTTTACCAAAAACACACTTTTGACTGTCGAGTATTAAATTGAAATTTTTCTTACCTTCTATAAACTTATGGATAATTTGTGTTAACTCATTAACCTTTTCTTTCAAAGAAATATTTTCTTTTATCAAAATGTCATGATTAATACTTACTTTTTGCTTTTCGGAGATTTTCTTAATTTCTTCTTTCAAAATAGAGTTTTTCTTTTTAAGAATAGCGTGATTTAAAAAAAGTTTTTCAAGATTTTCAAGTATTTCATCATAAGAACATACCTCGTCTTCGATTGCTATGAAGCACATATTTGCCACTTCATTTTGATTATTATTCCCATTTTGTTCTTTGTCGTCGCTATCATCCCATGTGGTTTGAAGTGTCTTTTTTTTTGAAATTTTTCTTTTTGTTTGGACACTCGGTTCTATTGTGACCCGGTTTGTCGCAATCATAGCAAATAATCTTTTTGTTCATATCTTCCACATTTTTTTCTTTCTTTTGGAATTTTCGATTATTACGAAAACCTCTCCATTTTTTGACAAGAATGACCGAATCATCAAGCTCTTCATCGCTCATACTTTCATTTGATGTTCCTTCTTTAATTGTCGATTTTAATACAATTTGTCGTTTAGGAGATTCATTTGATTCCTCCTTACTTTTTCTCGTTTTCTCCTTAACCTCGGCATTGTTTAGCTCATAGGTCATTAATGTGCCATAGAGCTCTTCCAAAGGATATGTATTTACATCCTTAGTATTCTCGATCAACAT